TCCCAAAAATTAATTCAGCATCTATCGATTAACCAAATACCTCATAAACCAAACATTCCTAATAATAACTCCTAATAATATTTCTTGCAGTTATCAGCTATCAAATCACTTAAATAACACTTACTATAGCAATCAATCATCCAGAGAAAAAAACACAGCAGGTAATCCTCAACATCTCCACAAAACAAAGAGAAATGGCGCCTTTGAAATAGAAAAATGCATCATGGGAAGCAAAGGGGGGTAATTCTAATCAAGTCTAATAAGAACATTAATTCTCAATAAATGATGACTGGCATCTGACGTCACAAAAGTGGGCGTTCCCTAACGCATCTTCGACGCAAGTGCGTCAAAGTGCCCTTACCCTAACCCTACCCTAACCCTAACCCTAACCCTAACCCTAACCCTAACCCTAACCCTAACCCTAACCCTAACCCTAAACCCTAACCCTAACCCTAACCCTAACCCTAACCCTAACCCTAACCCTAACCCTAACCCTAACCCTAACCCTAACCCAACCCCAACCCCAACCCCAACCCCAACCCTAACCCTAACCCTAACCCTAACCCTAACCCTAACCCTAACCCTAACCCTAACCCTAACCCTAAACCTAACCCTAACCCTAACCCTAACCCTAACCCTAACCCTAACCCTAACCCTATCCTTACAGATTTTTTTTTGTCCGTTTTCTAAAACCGTTGAACTATCCCACCATTTCTCTCGGAATGTCTGTTTTTCACCAATTTGCAATGTCCTAACCCTAACTCTTTAAGCTTCAAAAACTCCAAAAAAGTTATAATTTCTTGATTAAGCTATTGGGGTTTCAAAATCTTCAACTTGCGGTGATTTCATGAGCGCCTGTTGTACTTAAACATAATAAAGTGTCAAGCATGTAACAAGTTTTGGCAGAATACATAATTGATCTTAATATATTTTTCAACTGTTAGTGGTGTCTAAAATTACGAATTGGAATTGTTATGATAAGATGAAAGTGGACTTGAAAATTTCCCATTTTAGGCCCCGCCCTTCAGGTTCTGTGTGGCTGGAACACATCATTGATATAAATAAATGTTTCCCTTCCACTAAGAATGACGGTGCGGTATCCTTGTAGCTCACTTGACTCTTCGGGCCAGGCAAGCTTATAATAACCAATTAAGACTGTGCCAAAATGTAATACACATATTAACGTTACCAGGAATCATACCTTAAACTCTGACAATGCTTCTTCATATTTATTTGTCGTCTACGAATTTGGTTTGTGAAACATGGACTAAATAAACACTAAGTTGCATTAATTGTGAGATTCGAATACTATCTCATCTCATAAAAATGCTACATTTTGCGTTAATATGCATTATGCAATTGATAATTGTTAAATTATCTATCGATATATTTAGTAAATCAATACTATTCTAAATTAGAGGGACGCTTTACCTGGCTTATTTACTAAAGGGATTTTTAAACCTTCTAGAAATTAACAGAGAAAATGTATCACGATACATCTGTGTGTGTTCATGCATTTGTCCTTGTGTTATGTTAATCTTAAACATCAATGTGTCGCTGAGAGAACAGGTAGATACGTGTCTACAAATTTGCATTGAAAAGGTAATAACTGACATCCAGGTTTTTGGTAAGACAATTTGAAGAGGTAGCGGTTTTTATATGACATTCTGTAAGTATTACTCTTTACAATCGAATCATTCAAAGATAACGTACCCGTGAACTACATACTGTCAGCATTGGGGCGGCTGCGTATAGAAATGGCCTCACACTGGGGCGGCTACATATTTTGAAACGCAATAGAGTGACTTCGTACTGTGGTTATGATGCATGTTATCAATAATGTATGCAACGGCATTTCTAATGTAATGTGACTGCAACTTCAATACAATTACACAATTCAAAACAAATATTTTAACCTAATATAGACCAACTCCTAACTTATTGCGTCAAGTAGATCACTTGTTTTGCTATCCCAGGTCAGGAAAAGGAATGCATAGATTATATCAAGTGATCAGGTTGTATTCATCACGTCCCCAATTTTACTACCGAAAACATCACGATAATATATGGATACTGGATACCTTACTATTCACTATACAACACTAACACAAACAATATACCTGAGACGTGATATCAGTATCCAAAAATAAATCTCGAGAGACAGACAGAAGACAGGAGCGACCGACTGTAAGCTATGACAAATGGGTTTGCTATTTGATCTGTTTGATCAATCATCTTTCTCTATTTATACCAGTCACACTCCGACTTTTATATTTATTTTGGGTAATTTATTTGCTTTATCGATTTTATCAAATAAGTATGTAGCACAATGAATCATTTTATACTAGAGCATCAGAGGAGACAACAAAGTAAATTCTTAGGACAATTGTTTTAAATACATGATCTATAAATCGCAAGAAATTCTTTTTCTACAAACGACAGAACATTAAATCTGTAACAATTTACAGAACAACATCTGTTAGTTCACCTTCACGTTGATACGACCGGCCATTAGTTTATAAATTGCGACACAAAAATGATTTTAAAAACGATGATAGATCAAATGAATAATCATTTTCACATTTATATAGGGGTCAACAGATTTGGATAAGAACGAGCGTTATCTAAATTCGGAACTACGATGCCGAAACCGAAGGAAATCGCCCTCGGAACGTTGGTTGGGACAGCGACAACAGGCCTTCTGACATGGAGGACAATATTTCCATATATAGGGTATGATATCATGGTAAGGCGATTTCAACACAATTTCAGTATATTTAGATCAATATGTCATTCAGTTCTGATCATTTGGTAATTGCAAAGCTGTCAAAATAATCTAGATGTAACCAAAGTCCTATTACTGTTTGGTCTAGCTGGCTAAGAGTCAAGAAACGCATACACGTACTTTTTCGACATATCTTTTTCTTGAAATACATGCGCACGTTTCTCAGCATAAATCCTCATTCTCCCAACTCCGACAAAAAAACTCATTCTTTAAAAAAACGTCATACAAAAAAGGGATCCCCAAACACATTTATCTTTCAGTCAGCTCCACAAAACCTTTCATTTTCCATCACAAACATTTTCTCACAAACACTTTTATTTTTCGCCGGACAAATAATCGCAACGAACACAAACAACGTTTTCTGGTACAAACAGCGTCATTCTCACTTAAAAGATATACCCCACTTACTCTCTCATCTTTCTTAATTGTTTTATGAGTCCAAATACAGTTGTCGAGGAACAGATTTCCAACGTTCTTTGATATCAAGTTTACTTCTCTAGAGTTTAAATGGAAATGGAAATAAAAACGAGTAGGTAAACGTAGGTATTTGTTTGGATTAATGACGAAAATACTCTAATAACATGTAATAATGCGTAATTTGTAGAAAGTTGAGGAAATACATGCAGTGGCTAATATTCCAGAATGTTCATGTTTCAAAGGTACTTGTGAAATACTCCTTTGTGTAAACAGATTTCGGCTAGGCCTCAATTGGTAACATGACCCAGTCGAATTTTCCAATGTGAAAGCAAGTTTATCTATGATTTTAAGTAGTCCTCAACGTCAATTATGTTATACCTTGTCTTTTCACCGACAATCTCCAAGTTACGAGAGGGAGAAACAGCGAGGACGAAAAAGAGCCAAACTATTAAGTTAAGGGAGATAGTGCTAAGATCATATAACTGTCATTATGCTAATCTTCCTTTTTGGTGTTTTACCGTCGTTAAATGGGGCGTTTGTTTGAGCATAGAGTTTGTATTTTATGCTCTTTGTTGCTGTTTGCGTACATTGGAGTAAACGTGGTTATTTTCTTTATCCTTGTACGTTGCAGACGTTACGAAAACTGTACCAAATTCAAAGCCAAGTAGGAGAGAAAATCCTGTCCGGAAAATTTCTAGTGGACGTGTTTGAAGAGCATGTTGCAAGGAATCCTAAGAAAGCGCTCATTATCCACGAGAACAAAAAGTATAGCTACGAGCAGGTGAACGACATGGCCAACCGAGTGGCTAATCTCGCTCTGACTTGGAACCTTGACCAAAACGCTACTGTAGCTACAATGATATATAACGAAGCAGCTTTCGTTTGGACTTTATTAGGCAAGCAAAATATCCAGTATGTTCAAGCATTGATATTGTTCTTCGTCGTTATGTCTAGATTCTTTATTACTATTATCAACTGTTTGAATTTGACTTTACGACTTAGCGGAAGCCATATACGCATCATTATAAAGAATGTGTAGGAGAAATGTTCTAAATAATACAAAAACTCGTAAAATATGTCATCTTGACACAAAAATTTCAAAAAGGTTGAGAAACAATGATTTACAATATTGAAAGCAATGATATAATATTGGACATAAAATTGATTAGGTGTCGTAAGATGTTACGTATGTTATAATTTGTTGTAGGTTTGTTAAAAGTTGGACTATCTAATGCCTTCATCAACTATCACTTGTCGGGGAAACCACTCCTGCACTCTCTTAAAACCAGCAATGCTAAAATTATCATAATAGGGCAGGGTATGTACTGTTTACATTACTAGTGCCCAATGTCACAAATATATTCCAGGGGCTTTAATACCTGATCATATTTTAAAGTCTGAGGCAACCGATTAGAATAGCTCTTAACTTCAAATTTTATTTCAATGCTATGAGAAAGTATGACTTATGAATATTTCACAGCACCTTTTTTGAGTATTTTACTTTTCTCGGAATGTAGTTGGAGAAAACGGCAGTTGTAATCTAACATGCTGTAAAAAGGGGGAAATTCGATGTTTCACTAATGCTTGTCAAACGATATTTACATACCTACTGCTACAGTAAGTTTAATAGAATAAAGAAAAAATGTGCAAGGAAAATTGTTGTTTTCGTTGTTTTAAAGGTGCTTCTGCATTTTATCAGTAGAAGTGAATAAACAATGCATACCAATTAGGTGTGCATTCTAAAGGACCAATAGGGTGTATGCTCTCTAAATTTCGATGGGCTGGCATTCTGATCATAACAAAGCTTCCTATCCTTACAGGCGACGAACTGTTAGAGTCGGTTATGGAGATCATAGACGACTTTCAGGACATACCTACCTACGTCATGGGGAAGGGTCAGACAAGCTTACCACGGGGCCTACTTTCATTCGATGACGCCTTGTTACGCATGCTACCAGTGAACGTGTGTAAGTCAACCCGATCACACGTGACTTTAAAATCGCCGATGTGTTTTATATACACGTCAGGAACAACAGGTAAGCCCATTGAGGTATGATATTTCATTAATTTCTGAATCGCTACACTACGAGTTTTGAATAAAATGGTGTAAACATGAAGGATTGCAGACACATTAGAGGATAGCACAGTCCAGTGCAAATTTAAAGCATGGTGCAGTATAAAAAAATAGCTAGTTGAACTGCACCACACAGTTTTTCGTCTGTCTATGACTCGCCATTGATGTAAGGGCCTTAAGTGATAAATTTTATACTGATAAGAACAGATTGATGAAATCAAGATTGGTCAACAGAATTTAAATGAAAGACCCAAGGGTCTTAACGGTCACCTAAGTTACAATGCTTTTTGTAACATGACATAGAAATGAATGTGTTAAAAAAATACCTTGTAACATAATGCAAATGTAAACTGTGCAAAACATTGACTGCTCTAACAATCTCAAAAATGGTATTTTCTTATACAAATTCTTCCATCAATGAAAAGCAGGAAATGTTTGTCAATTTGACCAAAGTTAGCCTTGTCCATCAGCCCATGGGGTCAGTCGAGGTCAATGTGTTCATCGCATCATCCTGTCATCTGTTACTACTGAAGGTTGTAACCACGGTTGGACTATTTATGAAAGAAAATAAACAAATTATTCTGGAAAATGCTATTTTCCTTTATACAATATAGTAAATTTTAACCCCATCCCAAAGCGGATACGCGAAACCCTTGGTCCATGAAATGCACAATTTATGTAAAGCGTCTAAAGATAGTTCCATCCACGACGAGTATTTGGTTCTACGTTATTGAGTATTAAAAAGATGAACATTGTGAAGTTTCAGTCAGTTTGACTCAGTTTGTCCCCGCCCATTAGCCCCTGGCTTAAGTTGAGGTCAATATGTACATCTGGTCTAACTGTCATCTTATATTTATAGTATAAACTAAGTTTGAACTATTTCTGAAATAAAAAACAAAGAGGCCGACGGACATTAGCAGTCATCTGACAATAAAGAACTATACATGCATGAGGCAAAGTATGCCTAAATTGCTCAACTGTTCTACGACTTACAATCTCAATACCTCAATGTTGGGAAAGATATTTTAATGTCACAACACATTGGACCCAAGAGTATAGGTCAAGGCCCTTCATCCACTGATGTTAAACAAACAATTTCAATAGCCGCCACCATTTTATTATTGAGAAGTCTTTTAAAGATCTAAATACATACGAGCTACATTTACCTACATTTACCTATTTGTTTATCATACCGCTATATATGGTGTAAATATAGGTTTCGGGAAAGCTGAACGTGTAATTATGCAAGTATTGTCTACAAAAATATGCTTAAAGTTTTCCAAAGTCTCAGAACATAGACATCCACCTGCAATATACTGAAGATAAATTTGTTTTGTGTGTAAATGTTTCAAGGTTCTGTTTTAACTTTTACTTTCCCGTTGTTCTGAAATTGGAACATAATGCATTGTATCCTGTTTATTACATCAATGATAATTCGAATCGATCTATTTTGCAAGGCCTTTATCACATTTTAGCATACTGTATTGCAGGACTTCCTAAACCAGCGATCATCAACCATGCTAAGTCGATCAGAACATCGGTTACCTATAGCATGTTCGATTTTAATACCACTGATATAGTATACATCGTCACACCGCTGTACCACAGCGCGGCTTCACTACTCTGTCTCTGCAACACATTGAACACAGGTGTTTATATATCTTTATGACCTAATTCTAACTGTGACATGAAAGGTAAGTAATATTTTAGGATAAAGTATATTTAGAGGAACTATCCTGTTTTGCCGCCATGCTTTCTTTGCCCACTGCATATTACAATACCATACATTTGCTTTTGCGATCAACGAGATGATAAATCGAATCTCTGCGACAGAAATGGCCGAGAAAAACCTCAGAACATTTAAAAGATTATCTGCTGAGAGTTGCTTGCAAATCGAAGCGGTGTTAGTGAGTACCAGAGATAAACACTCCGATGCAATCATGTTTTCTCTCCGCGAGCCAGGATCTCACACACCTTTATTTCGTACCGACGACATTTAGACAGAAATACAAGAACTCGAACGGACTCTTAAATGCTGCAAATTTCATCGAAGCGGACAGAAGTGATGAGAAACATTGTAAGAGTAAAGGACACACATCGACAATTTATTCAGGGTTCGGGTGAATCCGTCCCGTCGAAATAACCGGAGCTTCGCACCTCGCGATCTATAAACTCTAAACGTCCATGGACATTGTATACGGCTATACAATCAGATAGGCAGAATCCCCGTTTTTTTTTTCACCAACGTAGTAATGATTTTTGAGTGAGGAAACTCAAAAACCTTGATCAGGAAGGTATCGAATTGTTTCTTCTATGGTGGACCTTAGTTCTGTAGTTTTCCTTTCCTTAGCTTTGGGTCTAATCATCCTACAATTTTGCTACTGCTTTGAATTGGACTTTGCAAGGGGAGGTTGCTACAGCAAACATGTGTGATACACGTCTTTCGTTTGGGACAAAAAAGGGTCCAAATATTTTTTTTCAGACTTTGTGCGGTTTGTATGTATCTCCAATATGGATATATAGTTTTGTCATGTATGTATTATTTCGTCGTGTTGGGAGAGACATACGAGATATATTACACGGAGGACTACTTTCATGTTAACTGGTTTATTCATCTTCCGGGCTATTGTATGGAACACACCAATGTCTAATAATTTATTTTGTATGCTGATAGTTGTGTATCGTCCCCTGCAGATATTGGTTAGAATATATCCACGGTGTTCTACTGCATGTGGAAAAAGTCAACTAAAAGGAACAACCTGTTTGCCATGGGATGCGTCCCGTTAGTACTGGGAGAAAGGATCCTGGTGGTTAAGGGGCAGTTATGTGGTTTGCGCTTTATTCTGAAGCAATCTGACATGGCCTTCCCCCAGTGCATCACTTTGGCCTCTATCGTTAAGACGGGTGATTATTGCGGCACTCATTGATCGATCGGCTGGTCATGCAAAACCCTTGGTCAACTATATGTCTTAACTGTACAAATTTTCCTTTTCATTTCACTCAACTGTCTGCCCATCTACTTTTGCGGATTTTATTTTACAGTTGTATCCCAGAAGGCAGCGGTTTAAGAGTCAATCGAGAGAGTACTAGTTTTTCGAGTATACGACCTGTGTATCCTTTGCACTTGTGAACCGGAGATTCGTACCGTAGGTAGTGTCTGCGATCTGGCGAACTCCTTGCAAAGGCCTTGAACCTCTAAGGAATGACAAGGTTTTTAACAGAGCTGTGCAGGTTGTCAAACTCAGTTACTCTAATGAAAAACAATAGGTCAACCATGTTAAACAAATCAGGGTGAAGCGAGATGGCAACATCCGAGATACCAACACTTTCATGCTTACTTTTAACACTCCAATTTTACCAAAAAGTGTAAAAGTTGACGTCGAAAGTGTTGGTGTGGATGTGTATATCATATCTAAAATCCACTACGATGTTTCAGTTGCCAGAAACTCGGACATCATTCTGATAGCTGCAAGGAACAGGGAATGTGTGCAAAGTTGTAGGCCACGAAGGAAGATTGTTGAAACGCCAGTGTCAGGTCCATCCTAGGCCAGTGGTGCAAAGGCTGGTATTACGACCATGCAGACCCGTGATGCTGCTACACAGATATGTGATGCAGGAACACAGACTGAAATAGTGTGTAAGTTATTGTGACCTACGGCCTGCTGCATTAAAGTCTTCTTCAACACAGTCATCACGGCCATCGCCATCATCATCTAAACAAAGTCAGACACCTCAATCCTTATCAAAGCCAGTTCGAATTAAAAGGGGAAAAGTGAACCAAAGGAAAAAAAAAATCAAATTTCGTCAGAACGAAAGAAGAAAAGGTCTGATGATCCAATTCACACCTTCAATGAATTCGGCTCCCTGGAGAATAAGGGGTACCAGGTAGCTACTTCCAAATCCTCCAAGATTTTCTTTAAAGCTGTCAAACCAGCTATGTTAAAGAAGTAGTTCAATGGTCCCCCACTTATCTCTATTTATCTTAGTAAATAATACAATAATCCAATGGAATTGAAGAGGTCTTCGGTCCAATATTGATGAATTTTGCCTCTCCAGAATATAACCCCTAGTGTTATATGTCTCCAAGAAACGCTCAGCAGAGACGAAAGATATCAATGTCAGAAAATAGTCATTGTAAAATTGCTTCGGTCCTTTAAGCAACAAAGCAACCGATAGAGTTGATATCCTGGTTGACAACCTATTTCCTCATAGAAATATACCATTAAATACAGACCTCCAGACAGCTTCGAGAATGCTCTATATATCTCCCTCCAAACTCGGATTTTACGTACAACCCACTAGACGAACTTCTATCACTACTGCCTCTCCTATTCACACTTTTGGATGAATTCAATGGTCATTACAACCGTTGGGGTTCACCGGAATCTAATGACAGAAGAACAAAAGTTGAAAACATTGAAAGATTTCGCATGGATGGTCCATGACGATTTCTATGGAACCGATCACTTTCCAATGTATACCAAAGTACATCTGGGTACCAAAATACTCAACACCTTTGATTTACTGAATTAAGAAGACCCGATCGAATCCTTTACTACCGATCTTCTTGAGATAGCCGAAGAATGTATACCAAAATCCAAAAGAAAACACAAGAAACCTGGGATAAATGAAGATTGTGATAACACTACTAAGAATAGGAAAACCGTTTTTAAGCAAATTCAAAATCAATCCCACAAGCGATAACTTAAACGACAATACAATCATCAGGGCAAAAGCCCGTCGTGCTATGCGCTTACATAAAAATGTATTGGAGATCTTATGTGTCCGAGTAAATTTCCACCAAAAAGGTATGGGATATGATTAAACGAATCAGCGGTAAAATATCATTCAAAATAAAGGAACATCTGAAAACAAATGGAAAATTAGTCACATCGAAATTTGATGTTGCAAATTCTTTAATGGTCTGCTTTTTTAAAAAAATGTGTGCAAGTAATCATTCTAACAAAACCAATTATTTAAGACCATTCGTGAAAAAGAACAAATTTCTCTTCCGAAAAAACAATGAAACTTTAAACAAACGATTCAAATGCTAGAACTTCTAGAATCGTTAAAACCACATGACTCTGCAACGGCAACTGATGATTCAATATCAGTTCCTAAAACATCTACCAGCGTTTTCATTAGAAAACCTCTTGATAGTTTAATTAGAATTTTAGATCGGGTAATATCCCCAATTCATGGAAAAGGCAACTGCGTTTTTAGATCTTTGCGAGGTACCAACGATCATTTGGTTACATTTGAAACCTTTGTGCATGAGGCTTTCCTCAGGAAGGAGCACTTCGTTGTTTTTTTCTTCGATTTGGAAAACGTTTACAACACAACGTTGATATAATGCATAATGATAGATCTGTAGATTTTAGAGGTAATCTATCAAATTTTATTTAAATTTTTCTATCAAATAGAGTATTTCAAGTCTGGAATGAAACCACCAGCAGGAAATGGGTGTACCACACGGTGGCATTCTTTCGGTTCCACTTTTTGGACTTAAAATTAACAGTATTGACAAAACGTTACCTCGTCAATGGAGAGTGCTCATTATACCAATGACTTTATTATATGCTATTTATCTAAGCATATGGATATCATCGAAAGACAACCACAACAATGTTTGAATCGACTTAAATTTGGGTGAATGAAAATGGATTTAAATTTAGACAATATGAAACAGTTATCCATTCAGACTCTTTCTGTACTACACTGTCTTAGCAATAGAAATATCGAAAATATTTTCAGTCGTAATGCATAAAATCTATATCATGGCCTTGTCAATAATTTTCGTATTGCTTTTTGCTGGGCTCCTGGAAACAAGGAGATATCATGCAATGAAAACGCAGATCGTGCCGCACAGAAAACGTTATCACTACCGCCTGCTGTTTTTAAATTTAATTTTACTGAGTATAAACCATTAATGAAACAATTTTTAACAGCTCATACGAAAGTTGTGAAACCATAGCAACTGTATTATCAATGACCAGTGACAATACCTCAATGTAGTGTCGTCTTTGTGCGAGACACATGTTTTCATTGGTGCCTTATTTGAACACTTGCGGGCGCATATTGGCATTTGGTATCTGTAATATCTGTAAAAGTTTGGTAAAGAGACGTCAATAGTGAGCTGTGAGAGGAGACGTGATCTACTTACGTCTGTTTTAAATGTAAATACTTCAAATCGTTGAATAAACCCCGTAAAAACGCCAATAAGTTGTGTACTAGTTGCCAATGTGCAATTTATATTGATATTTGTGTAGGTGATGAAGGTAAATAATTCCATGATAGTGATGATGGAGATATAACTCTGCTATAATCCCCATGCAGGCTGGAAATAGCGAAATGAAAATCGCTTTTGATTTCGAAAATCAGTAATATGTAAACACTCTATAATCTTCGTCTGTCTAACTTCCAGGGGCTACCATGGTGTTACGTAAAAAGTTTTCTGCCAGTCAGTTCTTTGAGGACTGTCGGCTACACGATGTGACGGTAATACAATACATCGGAGAACTTTTCCGTTACATTCTAGCTCTCCCAGAGGTACGTTAAATACTTGTTGCAATATAGCTAACTTAGATAAATTTGATGGAGCTCTGGTTTACTTGCATGCTTCGTATTCTTCATTCAAATAATGGCGTATTTGGTAATATGCACATGTACTTGACATTCTTTTGAAATCAACCTATATTTGAATTTAATGACATTTATTCAACTATGTTACCAACACACCAACCGATGTATATTTTGCCATTTATTTAGACCAATTGTTATCTCCCTTAATCGTCTCCTAAGTTTTAACACTTCCTTAGCATCACTGGCGAACCGTAGACGGTGTAAAATGCTGACATCATTCGGCACTGATTTTGTTACACAGTCGTGTTTTCTAGAGGCAAAATAACAACATGATATACTGGAAAATCTATTGTTACTCTATTAGGAAATCGGCTATAAATTTCAGTAATATTCAAATTCTTAAGGATATGATGACACATGAAATCGGTCCAGCATGCCGTTTACCACTCTAACAGTTTGACACATTGAATCGGTCTAGTCTGCCCTTTACCACTCTAACACTTAGACGCATTGAATCGGTCCAGTCTGCCCTTTACCACTCGAACACTTAGACACATTAAATCGGTCCAGCCTGTCCTTTACCACTCTAACACTTTGACACATTGAATCGGTCCAGTCTGCCCTTTACCACTCTAACACTTAGACGCATTGAATCGGTCCAGTCTGCCCTTTACCACTCTAACACTTAGACACATTGAATCGGTACAGTCTGCCCTTTACCACTCTAACACTTAGACGCATTGAATCGGTCCAGTCTGCCCTTTACCACTCTAACACTAAGACACATGGAATCGGTCCAGTCTGCCCTTTACCACGCTAACACTTAGATACATTGAATCGGTCCAGTCTGACCTTTACCACTCTAACACTAAGAGACAAATTGAATCGGTCCAATCTGCCCTTCACCATTCTAACACTTAAAGACGCCTTGAATCGGTCCAGTCTCCCCTCTGTCACTCTAGCATTATTATTTATTTTTTAAAACTTGCCCAGCTTTGTCCTTCTGGCACTCGATGAAAACATCAGTTTTACTCAATTTTGCCTCTGGCACGGCAGACACAGGAAATAGGCAAAATCTTTTTTATGTCACTCTGGCACTACAGATACAAGAAAAAAGCCAAATTGTAAGGTTCTTGTTAAACAAAACAAAACCAGTTTTTTTTCTGGATAGCGTATTAAAGGCCTCTTTTATGCTGTTCAGTATAGGACCTAAACGCTTCTACAACATAATCCGTCTTTTAATGATCATGATTCAGTAGAATAAGATCTAAGTATAAAGATCTCGATACAATATATGAATTGAACTGCAGGTATCAGCTGTTCCTTCATCCAAGAGGTCGTTGATAATGCTTAATGCAAAACAAACAATCTAATCAATGTAGGGTCATGGAAACAAGTACAAAATTTAAGATTGAAATAAACAGAGTACTGCCTATTTTTAACCCGCCATCATCAGATGGTTCGCTATTCAATTCGTTCCGTCGTCCGTAAGCAATTTTTGTTATGGCTATTAATTGAGAAAAAAACTGAATGGATCTTTCTCAAATGCAAATGTAGGTTTCCCTTGGTCCCTAGATGTGCCTGATTGATATTGGGATTGACAAAAAGACAAGATGGCCGATAGGCAGCAATCTTTTGATTTTTTTTTTCAATGAAGTTTGTTATCGCTATTTCTTGAAAAATGAGACATGGATCTTTCTCAAATTTCATATGTAGGTTCGCCTCGACCTATAGTTGTGCCTGTGCTATTATGGGTCTGATCAGATAAGCAAATTCGCCTTATGGTGGCCATCTTGGATGTTGACTTTGACAGTTTGTGATCGCTATTTTTGAGAAGTACTTGATAGATCTTTTTTTTTTATTTTATATGTTGGTTCCCTTTGGTACCTAGTTTTACCTGTTTGTTTTTGAGACTGATCAGAAAGTGACCAACAGACAGACATCTTAGATTTGATCTTTGCAAATATGTTGTCGCTGTTTCTTGAGAACTAATCTATAGAACTTTCTTAATTTTCCTATGTATGCTTTCCTTGATACCTAGTTGTGCTTGTTTGATTTTTGTACTAATCAGAAAAAAGCAAAAAGTCCAACAAGCGGTGGCCTCTTTTAAAATTTCATATAGGTTCCTGCCTGTTTGGGTTTGGGACTGACCGGAAAAAAATGGCCGAGGGTAGGCGTCTTGGATTTTGCCTAGTAAGGATTGTTATTGCTATTTATAAATAAGTACTGAATGGATATCTCTCAGATTTCATACGTATGTTCCCTTTGGTGTCTCCTTGTGCTGGTTAGATTCTGGGACTGATCAGAATAAATGGCTACCAGGTGATCATTGTGGATTTAGCAGGTAAAGATTATCATCGGTATTTCTGTAACGGAATGTTCAAATGTCTTATCATTTAGAGCAAAACAAAGAAGGGAAAAATTCAACTTCCAAAGAGCATATAAGATGAAACGAAGATGGTCGTCAAGATTGCTCTGGGATATTTTGTTTAAAATTACAGACCCCACTTGATCCATTCCATAAGATTCGAGTGGCCTATGGTAACGGTCTTAGGCAAGATATTTGGATAGAGTTCCAGAAACGCTTCAACATACCTTGGATCGTGGAGTTTTTCGGCGCCACTGAGGCCACTGGTGGATTATTTAACCTAACCAACAAGATCGGGGCATGTGGACGTCTATCACCTTTCATGGTTTGAAATTCAAAATTCTCTTGAACGTGTTTTTAATTTGGTATGCCTGTTGATCCATTCTCACTTTTATGCAGAAAGATATTGTGTACCTGTAACGTAATATTTATCTCAACCTTACTATGCTTCTCTTTAACAATATTATGTGCTGTTCACGGAATATTTTACTATCTTTCGGGGTTTCCCTTCCTTCTCACGTCTTTGTGTTTGTCAAATGAAGATTCCCTCTGATAGTTATGTGTTCCTGTCGTGGAATATTTTCAATATTTCCGTCTGTCTGTAAACAACTTTTGTTATAGCTATGTCTTGAAAAGTAATAAATTGATCTCTCACAAACTTCATATGCAGGTTTTTGTGGTCCTTAGTTGTGCTCGTCTAATTTTGGGACTGATAAGAAAAACTAAATGGCCGACATGTGGCTACCTTGGATTTTGACTTTGAAAGTTTGTTTTCGCTATTCTTGGGAACCACAGCGAAAATCTTTCTCAAATATCATGTAAATGCCTCCCTCGATCACTAGTTGTGCCTGCTTGATTTTGGCACTGATCAGGAAAAAAAATGGCCCACATACAGCAACCTTGGATTTTGTTATCACTATTTCGTGAGAACTACTGTAGAGATCTTTCTCAAATTTGATGAATAAGTTCCTTTAGAGTCCTAATTGTGCCTGTTTGAGTTTGGGACTGACCATAAAAACAAAATGGCTGGCAGGAAGCTATCATAGATTTTGCCTTGTAAAGATTGTTATTGCTACTTCTTAAGAAGAACTGAAGAAGTAATGAATTGATATCTCTCAAATTTCATACTCATGTTCCCGTTGATTTCTCCTTGTTCCCGTTTGATTTTGGGACTGATCAGAAGAAATGAAATGACTACCATTTTTCATTTAACAGGTAAAGATTATCATTACTGTTTCTGCGAAGCGAATGACTTTTCAAATGTCTTATCATTGAGACCCAAATCAGACAAAACAGGGGAAAAGATCCAACGGTCAAAGAGCTTATAAAGATCAAACAATGTTGGACGCCAAGATTCCTCTTGGATCTATTGTTCAGATCTGAAAACGATTTTAAGTTCGTATCGATATTCTTCATTAAAAAACGAAACCAAACAAACAATTATATCTGATAAGAAAAGGTACTTCACTTTGACGTATAGTACAAAGTTAAAATTAAATTCAACTAATTATATTTGGAATTATCCGTCTAATATTTTTTCCTTTAAACAGTATCATGTTACAATTGTGTAGGGATACTTGACTCCCTCTAGGCACACTTTTCTTTCAAACTTTGATGAACACATTCCGGAATATTTGTCCCTTCTAATCATATTCATCTTACATCATTTTGCATTTTTCATTTATGTCCCAATTTTTGCACCATTTCCTCTCACGGGAATTGCAATTGCTACGCAATATGTGCCTTTGTCTCGTGATGTTTATCTTTCCTTATTTTCTCTTTTTCTAATATTCATGGAATACTTACCTTTGTTACAATGTTCCTCTCCTGTGGGTGTAGGGACGGATAATTTGCATCCATCTGATTCTATCACAGAAAAGGTGTGTCTATCATGACTTTTGCTATCCGTCTGATAAAGTGTGTCTATAATGACTTTTTCTATCCGTCTGATAAGGTGTGTCTATGATGAATTTTGCTATCCATCTGATAAGGTGTGTCTATCATGACTTTTGCCTCCGTCTGATAAGTTGAATCTATCATGATATTTCCTCCTTCTGATAAAGTGTGTCTATCATCACTTTTGAATCCGTCTGATTAGGTGTGTCTATCATGACTTTTTCTATACGTCTGATAAGGTGTGTCTATCATGACTTTTGCTATCCATCTGATAAGGTCTTACTATCATGATTTTGTTATCCATCTGTTAAGGTGTGTCTATCATGATTTTTGCTATCCATCTGATAAGGTGTGTCTATCATGACTTTTGCTATCCATCTGATAAGGTGTGTGTATCAAGACATTTGCTATCCATCTGATAAGGTGTGTCTATCATGACTTTTTCGTTATCCATCTGATAAGGTATGTGTATCAAGACATTTGATATCCATTTGATAAGGTATGTCTATCATGACTTTTGCTATCCATCTGATATGGTTTGGCTATCATGACTTTTGTTATCTATTTGATAGGGTGTGTCTATCATGACTTTTGCTATCTATTTGATCAGGTGTGTCTATAATGACTTTTTCTATCCGTCTGATAAGGTGTGTCTATCATGACTTTTGCTATCCATTTGATAAGTTGTGTCTATGATGAGTTTTCCTATCCATCTGATAAGGTGTGTGTATTAAGACCTTTGCTATCCATCTGATCTGGTGTGTCTATCATGACTTTTGCCTCCGTCTGATAAGGTGTGTCTATGATGAATTTTGTTATCCATCTGATAAGGTGTGTCTATCATGAGTTTTGCTATACATCTGATAATGTGTCTATCATGACTTTTGCTATCCATCTGATAAGGTTTGTCTATCATGACTTTTGCCTATCTATTTGATAAGGTGTGTCTATCATGACTTTTCATGATTTTGTTCTCCATCTGATAAGGTGTGTCTATCATGACTTTTGCTATCCATCTGATAAGGTGTGTCTATCATGACTTTTGCTATCCATCTGATAAGGTGTGTCTATCATGACTTTTGCTATCCATCTGATAAGGTGTGTCTATCATGACTTTTGCTATCCATCTGATAAGGTGTGTCTATAATGACTTTTTCTATCCGTCTGACAAGGTGTGTCTATCATGAGTTTTGCTATCCATCTGATAAGGTGTGTTTATCATCATTTTTGCCTCCGTCTGATAAGGCGTGTCTATAATGACTTTTGCTATCCATCTGATAAGGTGTGTCTATCATGACTTTTGCCTCCGTCTGATAAGGTGTGTCTATCAAGACATTTGCTATCCATCTGATAAGGTGTCTATCATCACTTTTGCCTCCGTCTGATAAGGTGTGTCTATCATCACTCTTGACATTTGCTATCCATCTGATAAGGTGTGTCTATCATGACTTTTGCTATCCGTCTGATAAGGTGTGTCTATCATGACTTTTGCTATCCATCTGATAAGGTGTGTCTATCATGACATTTGCTATCCATCTGATAAGGTCTGTCTGTCATGACTTTTGCTATCCATCTGATAAGGTGTGTGTGACTTTTGCTATCATGACTTTTGCTCCCATCTGATAAGGTGTGTCTATCATGACTTTTGCTAACCATTTGATAAGGTGTGTCTATCATCACTCTTGGCTCCGTTTGATAATGTGTGTCTATAGTTACTTTTGCTATATCTCTGTTAAGGTGTGTCTATCATGACTTTTGCCTCCATCTGACAAAGTGTGTGTATCAAGACATTTGCTATCCATGTGATCAGGTCTTTTTATCATGACTTTTGCTATCCATCTGATAAGGTGTGTCTATCATGACTTTTGTCTATCTATCCATCTGGTGTCTATAAGGTGTGTGTCTATCATCTTTTGCTATCCATCTGTTTGTCTATCATGACTTTTGCTATCCATCTGATAAGGTGTGTGTATCAAGACATTTGCTATCCATCTGATAAGGTGTGTCTATCATGACTTTTGCTATCCATTCATGAACTTTTGTCTATCATGACTTTTGCTATCCATTTGATAAGGTGTGTCTATCATCAGTTTTACTATCCATCTGATAATGTGTCTATCATGACTTTTGCTATCCATCTGATAAGGTTTGTCTATCATGACTTTTGCCTCCATCTGATAAGGTTTGTCTATCATGACTTTTGCTATCCATCTGATAAGGTGTGTCTATCATGACTTTTACTTTCCATCTGATAAGGTGTGTCTATCATGACATTTGCCTCTGTCTCTTATAGTTGGTCTATCATGACTTTTGAATCTGTCTGATAAGGTGTGTCTATCATGACTTTTGTTATCTATTTGATAAGGTGTGTCTATCATGACTTTTGCTATCCATCTGATAAGGTGTGTCTATCATGACTTTTGTTATCCATCTGATAAGGTGATCATGTTTGCTATGTCTATCTTTTTGCATCCATCTGATAAGGATGTGTGTCTATCATGACTTTTGCCTTCATCTGATAAGGTGTTTCTATCACAACTTTTGCAATCCATCTGATAAGGTATGTTGATCATGACTTTTGCCTCCGCTTGATAAGGTTTGTCTATCATGACTTTTGTTATCTATTTGATCAGGTGTGTCTGTCAAGACTTTTGTCTTAGTCTGTTAATGTGTGTCTATCATGACTTTTGCTATCCATCTGATAAGGTGGTGTCTATCATGAGTTCACCTATGCATCTGATAACGTGTGTGTATCAAGACATTTGCTATCCATCTGATAAGGTGTGTCTATCATGACTTTTGCTATCCATCTGATAAGGTGTGTCTATCATGAGTTTTACTATCCATCTGACAATGTGTGTCTATCATGATTTTGCTATCCATCTGATAAGGTTTGTCTATCATCACTTTTGCTATACCTCTGATAAGGTGTGTCTATCATGACTTTTGCCTCCTTCTGATAAGGTGTGTCTATCATGATGTGTGTCTATCATGACTTTTGCTATCCATCTGATAAGGTGTTACTATCATGACTTTTGCTATCCATCTGTTAAGGTGTGTCTATCAGACTTTTGCAGTTTTGCTATCGATTTGATAATAAGGTGTGTCTATCATTACTTTTGCTATCCATCTGATAAGGTTTGTCTATCATGACTTTTGCTATCCATCTGATAAGGTGTGTCTATCATGACTTTTGCTATCCATCTGATAAGGTGTGTCTATCAAGACTTTTGCTATCCATCTGATAAGGTTTGTCTATCATGACTTTTGCCTCCGTCTGATATCATGACTTTTGTCTATCCTGATAAAGTGTGTCTATCATTTTTGCCTCCGTCTGATAAGGTGTGTCTATCATTACTTTTGCCTCCATCTGATAAGGTTTGTCTATCATGACTTTTGCTATCTATTTGATAAGGTGTGTCTATCACGACTTTTGTTATCCATCTGATAAGGTGTGTCTATCATGAGTTTTCCTATCCATCTGATAAGGTGTGTCTATCCATCATGATAAGGTGTGTGTGTCATGATAAGGTGTGTCTTCATTTTTGTCTCCGCTTGATAAGGTGTGTCTATCATGACTCTTGCTATCCATCTGATAGAATGTGTCTATCATGACTTTTGCCTCCGTCTGATAAGGTGTGTCTATCATGAGTGTGTCTATCATGACATTTGATAAAGTGTGTCTATCTTTTTGTGTCTATCATGACTTTTGCTATACCTCTGATAAGGTGTGTCTATCATGACTTTTGCCTTCGTCTGATAATGTTTGTCTGTCATTACTTTTGCAATCCACCAGAGAAGATGTGTCTATCATGACTTTTGCTATCCATCTGACAAGGTGTCTTTATCATGACTTTTGCTGCCCGTCTGATAATCTTTTTCATTGATATAGGATGTGTGTTTTTCAAGCATGTTTCTTTATGGCCATGTGGTCTAAATACATACAAGAAAAAGACGATCATGAGATTTTGATACTGACGAACAAATTTTTTTTTTATAGCGATGGGCCGGTACTGACAACATCAGACATACCCACATCATACGATATGACCCAATCAAGGAAACCCCAATACGGAACAAAGCAGGTCGTTGTATCAATATTAAACCCGGTAATGTATCACACAGCAGGAATTAATAATTATTTAAAGCGACAAATAGATAATGTATAAATCCACAGTAACAAAATATTACACTTATTAGATAATACATCGCGAAACATTGGAATCCGACATCTAATATATCGCTACAAAAAGACAAAATGTTACATTGTAGTCCCACATTTAATACATCACTATACAAAAACCAAATTGTTACATTGGAGTCGGACATCTAATATATCGCTACACAAAGACAAAATGTTACATCGGAGTCCCACAGATAATACATCACTATACAAAAACCAAATTGTTAAATTGGAGTCGGACATCTGATATATCGCTACACAAAGACAAAATGTTACATTGGAGTCCCACAGATAATACATCGCTACACAAAGACAAAATGTTACATTGGATTTCGACAGATAATACATCGCTACACAAAGACAAAATGTTACATTGGATTTCGACAGATAATACATCGCTACACAAAGACAAAATTGTTACATTGGAGTCGGACATCTGATATATCGCTACACAAAGACAAAATGTTACATTGGAGTCCCACAGATAATACATCGCTACACAAAGACAAAATGTTACATTGGAGTCCCACAGATAATACATCGCTACACAAAGACAAAATGTTACATTGGATTTCGACAGATAATACATCGCTACACAAAGACAAAATTTACACTGGGGTCCAACAGATAATACATCGCTACACAAAAAAGATGTTACATTGGAATCCCATAGTTAATACATCGGTACACAAAGACAAAGTGATAATACATCGCTACACACAAAAAAAATGTTACATTGGAATCCCACAGTTAATACATCGGTACACAAAGACAAAGTGCTACATTGGAGTCCGACAGATAATAAATCGTTACACCAACACAGAATGATCCATTGGAATCCCACAGATAATACATCGCTACACAAAGACAAAATGTTACGTTGGAGTCCCACAGATAATACATCGTTACACCAACACAGAATGATCCATTGGAATCCCACAGATAATACATCGCTACACAAAGACAAAATGTTACGTTGGAGTCCCACAGATAATACATCGCTACACCAAGACAAAATATTACATTGTAGTCCAACAAATAATACATCACTACACAAAGACAAATTGTTACATTGTAGTCCCACAGATAATACACCACTACACAAAGACAAAATGTTACATTGTAGTCCCACAGATAATACATCACTACAGAAAGGCAAAATATAACATTGGAGTCCCACAGATAATACATCGCTACACAAAGACAAAATGTTACATTGGAGTCCTACAGACAATACATCGTTAGACAAAGACAAAACGTATTATTGGAGTCCAACATATAATAAATTGCTAAACAAAGACAAAATGTTCCATTGGAGTGCCACAGATAATACATCGCTACACAAAGACAAAATGTTACATTAGAGTCCCACAGATAATATAACGCTACAAAAAGGCAAAAATATTACATTCGAGTCCGACATCTATAATATCGCTACACAAAGACAAAATGTTACATTGGAGTTCGACATCTATAACATCGCTAGACAAAGACAAAATGTTACATTTGAGTTCGACAGATATTACATCGCTACATGAAGACAAAATGTTACGTTGGAGTCCCACAGATAATACATCGCTACACCAAGACAAAATATTACATTGTAGTCCAACAAATAATACATCACTACACAAAGACAAATTGTTACATTGTAGTCCCACAGATAATACACCACTACACAAAGACAAAATGTTACATTGTAGTCCCACAGATAATACATCACTACAGAAAGGCAAAATATAACATTGGAGTTCGACAGATATCACATCGCTACACAAAGACAAAATATTACATTGGAGTCCCACAGATAATACATCGATACACAAAGACAAAATGTAACATTAGAGTTCGACAGATATTACATCGCTACATCAAGACAAAATTTTACATTGGAGTCCTACATATAAAACATCGCTACATGAAGACAAAATGTTACATTGGAGTCCAACAGATAAAACATTGCTACACAAAGACAAAATGTTACATTGGAGTCTTACATATAATATAACGCTACAAAAAGGCAAAAATATTACATTGGAGTCCGACATCTATAACTTCGCTATACAAAGACTAAATGTTACATGTTAGTCCCACAGATAATACATCGCTACACAAAGACAAAATATTACATTGGAGTCCGACATCTATAACTTCGCTATACAAAGACAAAATGTTACATGGGAGTCCCACAGAAAATACATCGCTACACAAAGACAAAATATTACATTCGAGTCCCATGTACCTGATGTACCTGATGTAACCAGACATGATTGTAAAACGTCAACCTGATGTAACCAGACATGATTGTAAAACGTCAACCTGATATAACTAGATATAATTATATAACATCAACCTGATATAACCAGACATGACTGTAAAACGTCAACCTGATATAACTAGATATAATTATATAACATCAACCTGATATAACCAGACATGATTGTAAAACGTCAACCTAATGTAACTAGATATAATTATATAACATCAACCTGATATAACCAGACATGATTGTAAAACGTCAACCTGATATAACCAGACATGATTGTAAAACGTCAACCTGATATAACCAGACATGATTGTAAAACGTCAACCTAATGTAACTAGATATAATTATATAACACCTGATATAACCAGACATGATTGTAAAACGTCAACCTGATATAACCAGACATGATTGTAAAACGTCAACCTGATATAACCAGACATGATTGTAAAACGTCAACCTAATGTAACTAGATATAATTATATAACATCAACCTGATATAACCAGACATGATTGTAAAACGTCAACCTGATGTAACTAGATATAATTATATAACATCAACCTGCTATAACCAGACATGATTGTAAAACGTCAACCTGATATAACTAGATATAATTATATAACATCAACCTGATATAACCAGACATGATTGTAAAACGTCAACCTAATGTAACTAGATATAATTATATAACATCAACCTGATATAACCAGACATGATTGTAAAACGTCAACCTGATATAACCAGACATGATTGTAAAACGTCAACCTGATATAACCAGACATGATTGTAAAACGTCAACCTAATGTAACTAGATATAATTATATAACATCAACCTGATATAACCAGACATGATTGTAAAACGTCAACCTGATATAACCAGACATGATTGTAAAACGTCAACCTGATATAACCAGACATGATTGTAAAACGTCAACCTAATGTAACTAGATATAATTATATAACATCAACCTGATATAACCAGACATGATTGTAAAACGTCAACCTGATGTAACTAGATATAATTATATAACATCAACCTGCTATAACCAGACATGATTGTAAAACGTCAACCTGATATAACTAGATATAATTATATAACATCAACCTGATATAACCAGACATGATTGTAAAACGTCAACCTGATGTAACTAGATATAATTATATAACATCAACCTGATATAACCAGACATGATTGTAAAACGTCAACCTGATATAACTAGATATAATTATATAACATCAACCTGTCGTCACTAGACATGATTGTGAAAGTCAACCTGGTGTAACCATACATAATTGTATAACATCAACCTGATGTAACCAGAGATGATTGTATAACGTCAACCTAATGTAACCATATAACGTCAACATCATGTAACCAGACATGATTGTAAAAGTCAACATGATGTAACCAGACATGATTGTATAACGTCAACGTCATGTAACCAGACATGATTGTATAACGTCAACGTCATGTAACCAGACATGATTGTATAACATCAACGTCATTTAACCAGATTTGATTGTAAAAGTCAACCTCATGTAACCAGACATGATTGTATAACGTCAACGTCATGTAACCAGACATGATTGTAAAAGTCAATATGATATAACCAGACATGCTTGTATGACGTCATACTGTGTTAACCAGACATGATTGTATAACGTCAACCTGACGTAACCTGACATGATTGTATGATGTCAACCTGATATAACCAGATATGGTTGTAAAACGTCAACGTGATGTAACCAGACATGAGTGTATTACGTCAACGTCATGCAACCAGACATGATTGTAAAAGTCAACCTGATATAACCAGGCATGATTGTAAAAGTCAACCTAATGTAACCAGACATGATTGTAAATTCAACCTGATGTAACCAGACATGATTATTCAACATCAACCTGATATAACGAGACATGATTGTCAAAATCAACCTGATGTAACCAGATATGATTGTATAACGTCATCCTCATGCAACCAGACATATTTGTAAAAGTCAACCTGATGTAACCAGGCATGATTGTAAAACGTCAACCTGATATAACCAGGTATGATTGTATAACATCAACATGATGTAACCAGACATGATTGTATAACGTTATCCTCATGCAACCAGACATGATTGTAAAAGTCAACCTGATATAACCAGGCATTATTGTATAACCTTAACCTCATGTAACCAGACATGATTGTAAAAGTCAACCTGATATAACCAGACATTATTGTATAATCTCAACCTCATGTAACCAGACATGATTGTAAAAGTCAACCTGATATAACCAGACATGATTATATAACATCAACCTGATGTAACCAGACATTTTATATAACATCAACCTGATGTAACCAGACATGATTGTAAAAGTCAACCTGATGTAACCAGAAATGGTTGTATAACGTCAACCTGATGTAACCAGACATGATTGTATGACGTCAACCTGATATAACCAGAAATGGTTGTATAACGTCAGCCTCATGTAACCAGATATGATTGTATAACTTCAACCTCATGTAACCAGTTATAATTGTAAAACGTCAACCTAATGTAACCAGACATGATTGTGTAACGTCAACCTGATGTAACCAGACATGATTGTATAACGTCAACCTGATATAACCAAACATGGTTGTAAAAGTCAACCTGGTGTAATCAGACACGATTGTATAACGTCTTCGTCATGTAACCATGCATGATTGTATAACGTCAACCTGATATAACCAGACATTGTTGTATTACGTTTTGCTTTTGCAAAGAGACACGACTTAATGATGTCATGTTACTGTACTCAGATTTAGTTTTTTCCTATTTAATAATTTTGAAGTCAGGCAAGTCTACATAAAGTCATACTAATGTAGGCAAACAGAATTGTTTTACGTCACACTGTCGTTATTTTACATTTTACGGTTGTGACCGAACAATTTTGTACAACGTCATAATGTCTTGAATCAAACTGTAACAGACACAAGATTTGAAGATACTAATGGATATTCAGTATTTAATCATGTCATAAATACATATTTCAAATTGTTTTTATGTATAAACAATTGGTGTATATCTGTGTTATGACTACACGTTATCATTCTTGTCGTTAAGACAGAAGACAAGTAGCAAATGCTCGCAGGTTAAATACACCATGTTTTAATTATAACGACTTCAGCAGTACATCTCGTTTCATTACAGGCGAACAAGGTCTTCTAATAACCCCGATACCACCAACATACACTGGATTCTATCAGGGTGACTCAAGTCTCAACGAAAAGAAGCTCCTTAGAAATGTGTTTGAAGAAGGCGACAGATACTTCAATTTCGGTGATCTTCTATACATGGACAAGGATTACTTTATCTACTTCCGGGACCGAGTTGGAGACACGTTCAGGTAGGATATAAAACAAATGTGAAACACAACCATACGAGCTCTAACATTTGGTCACCCCCGCACAAAGAAAAGGTATTTGATGAAAAGATGCCGATTATTCACACAGAAGTTCGTGATATTGATCCTGAATCGTGATTCGTGATCGAGTCACACAGTACTGAAAGTGATATTTAAATGTACTCTAAGTATCGAGAACATTTTGTCAAATTCATTGTGACCCATACTACCGGACATATTCTGTGAAATGCATCATGCCACATACATCCTGGATATATCTTAATATATTCTTAAAATACTGAGTACATTCTGTCAAATTCATCCTGTCATACAGTACCGAACATATGTTACATTCACTATGTCACTTAGTATCGTGTACATTCTGTCAAATTCATCCCGTCATACAGTACCGGACATATGTAAAAACGCACCTATTTACCCCCAAAAAATATTGTGCTATAAATATGCATAGCGGTATCAAAAGTAAGAGAAATATAAGAGCAACCTGCCTCACTAATATATATCTTTAAAAATCCGTCTTTCCTGACCAGAAGATACTTATATACTTCTGGCACCTTTAAATTACCAATACACTATTATGTACAAATGTTCTTTTCCATTCAAACTAAAGTCGATTTCCGACTTCCACCAAGACGATCGCAAAAGCATTTGCAATCAAATAGTTTTTTAAATATGCATTGCCTAGCTCAAATTAATAGAGAACGGGTTATCGCAATGCTCATAGGAGGTCATAATCAGCAGCAGGTCGATACTCATTTCGGAGTTCATAAATCGACTATAAGTCGTTTAGTGGAAGTCTTAATGCCGAGGGAAGAGTTGCTGACAGACCGATATCTTGACGTCCAACTGTGACGTTGTGACGTCAAGATCAGTTCATTAGGCTTGTCCACTTGCGCGAAAGGAGATTAAAGGCAGCCAAATCGGCACGAAAAAATAATAGTGATATAAACCGTCGAATCTACCAATCTACAGCATCGCCAGTACTTTGGTTTGTCACTAACACCTCAGCGTCGATCACGTGGTATGTGATGTTTTGCGGCATATGTGCCCAGACGTTTCCCTGAGACGCTGGAGGTCCATGCTCTTCAGAGATGGTACTTCGAGCTGATGGCCATCAATGCATGTACATACATCGAGGAGAGCATTTTGCAGACACTTGCTGTTTGGAGCAAAACATATTGTGCCTCATATTAAGAGGCAAACTTTTGACCTTTTGGCATCATCCCTATGCACTGGCCTCCATATAATCCCAATTTGTTCCCAATCGATCACTTGTGAGTTGAATAAGACAGAACAGTTCGTAATCGAGCAAACACAAATAACCTTTGTCAATAGGACAACGCACTTACTAATAAATGGAATGATATTCCTCTACAGACAATCATTGTCCTTATTAACTTCATGCCACGCAAAATCAGAGACACTATTGATGCTCGGGAAGGGCGTACTCGATATTAGGGATAGGTCTGACAACTGCCGTTATTTCAACTTAATGTGCATACGAGTACCACAATTCACTGCAACCTAAGTCCTCACTTGTTAAAAATCTCGGAAAAATTAAAGATGGATTGTCCGGTATTCGAAGTTATGTTTAAACATAAATTTGAAGTTGCATTTATGTCATCTTATTAGGTTATGTTACATATAACCTGTAACACAGCATCTTATATATATGTCAATTGCTGGTGAAGTAAAAAAAAAGTTAAATTATTGTATTTTATTATCAGCTTATAATCCCCTTAGAGACTTGACATCACGCGTTTAAGAAAGATGTCATCCGCTAATGTTTATCAGAATGATCTTGTACATGCTTATCGACGTTTGAGTTCATGTTATGTCTTTTATATTGGATTTATTCGTTGATATAAGGATTATTGGCCTATTTGTCACTTTATCGTGAGATTTACGTATATTTTGTATGGTTAATCTGGTGCAAATTAATTTAAAACATCCCAAAAATATCCCATTACTGTTCGAACTAATCTGGTAAATGTTATGAATGAATATAACGAAAATGTTCTCGCTCATCATTTACAACATTTTCATTCAATCAGGTGGAAAGGAGAAAACGTATCGACAAGGGAGGTGTGTGATGTCATCAGTTCTCTCAACTTTGTTCAAGATGTGAATGTATACGGGGTACGAATACCAGGTAAACGAAGTATACATGTAAATCCCCAACACTGACATTGACAATTAAGTATACATTTACATCCCAACACTGATACTGATAATTAAGTATACAATTACATCCCCAACACTGACATTGACAATAAAGTAAACATTGCAACCTTCAACACTGACATTGACAATTAAGTATACATTTACATCCCAACCCTGATAATGATAATTAAGTATACATTTACATCCCAACACTGATAATGATAATTAAGTATAAACCAACATTCCCAACACTGATTAAAACAATTAAGTATACATTTACATCCCAACACTGATAAAAACAATTAAGTATACATTTACATCCCAACAACTGATAAAAACAATTAAGTATACATTTACATCCCCAACACTGACATCGTCAATTAAGCATTTACATCCCAACAATGATAATGATAATTAAGTATAAACCAACATTCCCAACACTGATGAAAACAATTTAGTATACATTTACATCCCAACACTGATAAAACAATTAGGTATACATTTATATCCCAACACTGACATTGACAATCAAGTATACATTTACATCCCCAACAATGATAATAACAATTAAGTTTACATTTACATCCTCAAAACTGATAATGACAAATAAGTATACATATACATCCCCAACAATGATACTGAAAATTAAGTATATCTTTACGTCCCCAACACCGATATTGACAATTAAATATACACTTCCGTCCCAAAAACTGATAATGATTCTTAAGTATACTTTTACATCACCAACGCCGAAATTGACAATGATGTATACATTTACATCCCAACATTGATAATGACAATTAAGTACATCCCAACACTAATAATGACAATTAAGTATACATTTACATCCCACCACCACTGACATTGACGAGTATACATTGAAAACCTCAACACTGACATTGACAATTAAGTATACATTTACATCCCAATACTGATAATGACAATTAAGTATACATTTACATCTCCAAAAATGATAATGACAATCAAGTATACATTTACATCCACAACACTGATAATGACAATTAAACAAACATTTACATCCCAACACTGATAATGACAAATAAGTATACATTTACATCCCCAACACTGATAATGACAATTAAGTATACATTTACATTCCCGACACTGATACTGAAAATTAAGTATATATTTAAATCCCAAACACTGACATTGACAATTAAGTATACATTCGGCCTAAAACAAGGACATTGACAATTAAATATACATTGACATTACAACAATGAAAATGACAATTAAGTATACATTTACATCCCCAACACTGACATTGACCAAGAAGTATACATTTTCATCCAAACACTGTTAAAAACAATTAAGCATACATTTACATCACCAACACTGATAATGACAATTAAATAAACATTTACATCACAACAATGATAATGACAATTAAGTATACATTTTCATCCCAAACACTGACATTGACAATAAAGTATACATTTACATCCCCAACACTACCATTGACAATTAAACCCAACATTGACCACGACAATTAAATATACATTAGCATTCCTAACAACGATAATGATAGCAATGTATACATTTACATCTCAACACCGATAATGATAATCTTGTATACATTTACATCCCCAACACTGATAATGATAATTAAGTATTCATTTACATCTCCAACAGTGATACTAGCAATTAAGTTGATATTTTTATCCCCAACACTGATAATGATAATTAAGTAAACATTTACATCTCAACACTGAAAATGACAATTAAGTATAAATTTACATCCCCAACACTGATAAAGACAATTAGATATATATTAACATTCCCGATACCGATAATGATAATGATGTATACATTTACCTTCCCCAAAATTGACATTGACAATTAAGTATACATTTACATCCGAACACTGATAATGATAATTAAGTATAGATTTATATCGCCAATACTGATGATGATAATTAAATAAACATTTACATCCCCAACACTGATACTGAAAATTGATACTATATTTAGATCCCAACACTTATATTCATAATTAAGTATACGATTTTATCCCAAACACTGACACTGACAATTAAGTAAACATTGCAACCTTCAACACTGACATTGACTATTAAGTATATATTGACATCCAAACAGTGATAATGATAATTAAGTATATTTTCACATCCCCAACACTGAGAATGATAATTAAGTATACATTTACATACCAAACACTAAATTTGACAATAAGCTATATATTAACATCCCTGACACTGATAACGACAATTAAATATAGACTTACATCCCAATACCTATAATGATAATAATGTATACATTTACATCCCAAAACTGATAATAATACTTTAGTATACATTTACATCCCAACACTAATAATGACAATTAAGTTTACATTTACATCCCGAGCACTGATAACGACAATTAAATATTGATTTACATCCCAACACCGATAATGATAATAATTAAGTATACATTTACATCCCAACACTGATAATGACAATTAAGTATACATTTACATCCCCAACACTGACATTGATAATCAAGTTTACATTTACATCCCAAAACTGATAATGACAATTAGATATACATTTTCATCCCAAAACTGATAATAACAATTAAGTATACATTTATATCCCAACACTGATAACGACAACTAAATAAACATTAACATTCCCACAACCAATAATGATAATAATGTATACGTTTAAATACCAAACACTGATAATGATAATTAAGTATTTATTTACATCTCCAACGGTGATAATAACAATTAAGTAGATATTTTCATCCCCAACACTGATCATGATAATTAAGTATACATTTATATCCCAACACTAATTATGACAATTAAGTATACATTTACATCCCAACACTGATAATGACAATTAAGTATACATTTACATCCAAACAGTGATAATGATAATTAAGTATATTTTCACATCCCCAACACTGAGAATGATAATTAAGTATACATTTACATACCAAACACTGACATTGACAATAAGCTATATATTAACATCCCTGACACTGATAACGACAATTAAATATAGATTTACATCCCAACACCGATAATGATAATAATGTATACATTTACATCCCAAAATTGATAATAATAATTTAGTATACATTTACATCCCAACACTAATAATGACAATTAAGTTTACATTTACATCCCGAACACTGATAACGACAATTAAATATTGATTTACATCCCAACACCGATAATGATAATAATGTAAATTCCAAACACTGATAATGATAATTAAGTATTTATTTACATCTCCAATGGTGATAATAACAATTAAGTAGATATTTTCATCCCAAACACTGATCATGATAATTAAGTATACATGTATATCCCAACACTAATTATGACAATTAAGTATACATTTACATCACAAAACTGATAATGACAATTAAGTACACATTTACATCTCCAACACTGATAATGATAATTAAGTATTCATTTATATCTCCACAGTGATACTATCAATTAAGTAGATATTTTTATCCCCAACACTGACATTGACAATTAAGTATACATTTTCATCCCCAACACTGATCATAATAATTAATTATACATTTACATCCCAACACTTATAATGGCAATTAATTATACATAACATTCCAAACACTGATAATGATAATTAAGTATTTATTTACATCTCCAACAGTGATACTAACAATTAAGTAGATATTTTTATTCCTAACACTGAATGATAATTAAGTATACATTTACCTACCAAACACTGACATTGACAATAAGCTATATATTAACATCCCTGACACTGATAACGACAATTAAATATAGATTTACATCCCAACACCGATAATGATAATAATGTATACATTTACATCCCAAAACTGATCATAATAATTTAGTATACATTTACATCCCAACACTAATAATGACAATCAAGTTTACATTTACATCCCGAACACTGATAACGACAATTAAATATTGATTTACATCCCAACACCGATAATGATAATAATGTATACATTTACATCCCAAAACTGATAATGACAATTAAGTATACATTTACATCCAAACACATATAATGTCAATTAATTATACATAACATTCCAAACACTGATCATGATAATTAAGTATTTATTTACATCTCCAACAGTGATACTAACAATTAAGTAGATATTTTTATTCCTAACACTGATAATGATAATTAAGTATATTTTCCCAAACATTGATAATGATAATTAAGTATACATTTACATCCAACACTGATAATGACAATTAAGTATACATTTACATCCTTCATTTACATCCCAAACACTGACATTGACAATAAGCTATATATTAACAATGATAACGTTAAATATAGATTTACATCCCAACACCGATAATGATAATAATGTATACATTTACATCCCAAAATTGATAATAATAATTTAGTATACATTTACATCCCAACACTAATAATGACAATTAAGTTTACATTTACATCCCGAACACTGATAACGACAATTAAATATTGATTTACATCCCAACACCGATAATGATAATAATGTAAATTCCAAACACTGATAATGATAATTAAGTATTTATTTACATCTCCAATGGTGATAATAACAATTAAGTAGATATTTTCATCCCAAACACTGATCATGATAATTAAGTATACATGTATATCCCAACACTAATTATGACAATTAAGTATACATTTACATCACAAAACTGATAATGACAATTAAGTACACATTTACATCTCCAACACTGATAATGATAATTAAGTATTCATTTATATCTCCACAGTGATACTATCAATTAAGTAGATATTTTTATCCCCAACACTGACATTGACAATTAAGTATACATTTTCATCCCCAACACTGATCATAATAATTAATTATACATTTACATCCCAACACTTATAATGGCAATTAATTATACATAACATTCCAAACACTGATAATGATAATTAAGTATTTATTTACATCTCCAACAGTGATACTAACAATTAAGTAGATATTTTTATTCCTAACACTGAA